GTGGTGGGGGCGTCCGGGGGCGGGCCCTGGCCTGGAGCGTGGGGGCTGCCGAGGGGCGGGGCCTGCGGAGTGGTGGGGGCGTCCGAGGCGGGGTTTGCGATTGCAGGGAGCGCGGGGCGGAGCACAGGGGTTCTGCCTTAGAATTGCAGGATGAGGGATGAGGGCTATTGATCGAGAGAAAATCTGCCTTGGGCAATTAACAAAGCGGGGAAAGGCAGTGGAATGGGGCCGTTTCCGTGTCCCATCGTCCCCCACGGTGACCGTTTTTGAGACTGTATGAAGATTCTCTGAGGTTTAGGTCTCCAAAGAAAGTTCTCAACCCTGTATCTCCCAGGATGGCAATGCTGGGGGCAGTAGGCCACCAGTGAGGCGTCATATCCTAGTAATTGTGTTCCCGCAGGAAGTGGAAACCCTTACCTCCCACTGGACCCTGTACATGAATGTGTGCGGCTTCCTGGTGGATCTCTTCTCGTCCACGTTGCTCGGAGCCTGGAGTGACCAGGTGGGCCGCCGCCCACTGCTGGTGTTGGCCTCACTTGGCCTGCTGCTCCAAGCTGTGATATCCATCTTTGTGGTGCAGCTGCAACTCCATGTTGGCTACTTTGTGCTAGGCCGCATCCTTTGTGCTCTCCTCGGTGACTTCAGTGGGCTCTTGGCTGCTAGCTTTGCCTCCGTAGCTGATGTCAGCTCTAATCACAGCCGCACCTTCAGGATGGCTCTGCTGGAAGCCTGCATTGGCGTGGCTGGAATGTTGGCAAGCCTCCTTGGGGGTCACTGGCTCCGAGCCCAGGGTTATGCCAACCCCTTCTGGTTGGCCTTGGCCTTGCTAATAGTCATGACTCTATATGCAGCATTCTGCTTTGGTGAGACCTTGAAAGAGCCAAAGTCCACCCGGCTATTCACCCTCCGTCACCACAGATCCATCGTCCACCTCTACCTGTCTCCAGCCCCGGAGAAGTCCAGGAAGCATTTAGCCCTATACTCATTGGCTTTCTTCGTGGTGATCACTGTGCACTTTGGGGCTCAGGACATCCTGACCATCTATGAATTGAGCACACCCCTCTGCTGGGACTCCAAGCTGATTGGCTATGGTTCTGCAGCTCAGCACCTCCCCTACCTCACCAGCCTGCTGGGCCTGCGGCTCCTGCAGTGCTGCCTGGCAGACAGCTGGGTGGCTGAGATTGGTCTGACCTTCAACATTCTGGGGATGGTGGTCTTTGCATTTGCTACCATCACAGCTCTCATGTTCACAGGTAAAGTATGTGGGCTCAGGGACAGCTAGTCCCAGAGGCAGTGGGTGAAAATTGGGGGCCAGCCCACTCACAGCTCCCGAATGTAGTTCAGACCTGTGTTATACCCAGGTTATAAACCTAAGTTATACCCAGAGCCTGCACCAGAGGACAGATAACTAAAAAACCCAGAAAAATGCCATCAATTTAAAAAATATATATATTTTTAGTTGTAGATGAACACCATACCTTTTATTTATTTAGGTACTGGGGATTGAACTCAGGGGCACTCAACCACTCAGCCACATCCCCAGCCCTATTTTGTATTTTCTTTAAAGACAGGGTCTCACTGAGTTGCTTAGCGCCTCACTGTTTCTGAGGCTGGCTTTGAACTCGCCATCTTCCTGCCTCAGCCTCCTGAGCTGCTGGGATTATAGGCGTGGACCACCATGTCCAGCCATTTATATTTTATGTGGTGCTGAGGATCAACCCAGTGCCTCACACATGCTTGGCAAGTGCTCTACCACTGAGCCACAACCCCAGCCCAGAAAAATGCCATCTTTGATAAATGGAAAATATAGCTTTTAAGTAGCCAAAGTAATTAATGCACATTATCAACTGTAAATATTATTAGTAATTGGAGCAAAAGACAAAAGTATGGCTCATACACTAATTGCTTCACCCCTTGGCCTCCCGTAGCCTATCCATGGTGCTCTTAAACAAAGTCCATGCCACTAATGCCTGGATACTCATTTCTCTGATAAGAACCACAGGTCCTGCCTCAAATATCTCAGTCAACTTTTGTTTTTATTTATTTATTTTTTAAAAGCCAGTCTTCTCAGACCACAGAAAGTTGCTGCTTGCTCAGTTCCTCTCTTCCCTGCTTCGTCATCACTTTTTTTTTTTTTTTGGCTTCCAGCTGAGTGGCTAGCAAAGGAGTAAAGAAATAACTATTTTAAAGGGACAGATTTATTTTGTGAGAGCCCTAAAATATGTTGTGTACAAAATCAACCATTCAATAGTCACAGATTTCTTAACTCAGTTTCTTGACTGACAATGAAGGTGCGGGTCCAGGTACCTTTCATTCATACCTGCAGCCCTTGGGGGTGCAGACAGGATGAAGTTACTGCCATTATTCTGGGAGTCTTAGCAGAGTGGAAATTGGGGGTTCTGACTCCAAAGAGGTCTTGGGGTGCTTCATCATATACTGACTTTCGAGGATACACTGTCTTCTAGGAGTTTGAAGTTTTGTTGAGGATACAACAGTCATGTAGGAAGAATAGTTCTAAAGAAAACAAGGTATGTCTGTAAGTAACTAAATGCAAAAGGAAAAGGAGCTTATATTTACTATGTCCTTACTCTGCTGAATTTACTGTGTACTTACTGCATTCTTTATAGTTGTTACCTCTTTACCCTGTATATTAGTTTCCTAAGGTTGCTGTAACAAATTATTACAATGTAATAACAATTATTACAACCCCAGCAACTCAGGAGGCCAAGGCAGGAGGCAAGTTCAAAGCCAGCCTTCAGCCACTTAGCCATACTGTCTCAAAATTAAAATAAATAAATAAATAAATAGGACTAGGGATATAACTCAGTGGTAGAGCACAACCTCTAAGCACCTTTTCAATCCCTGGTACTTCAAAAAACAAAAATTACCACAAATTGGGTGGCTTAAAACAACAGAAATTTATTCTCTCACAGTTTTGGAAGCCAAAAGTCCCAAATCAATATTGCTAGGCTGAAATTAGAAGTTGATAAGGCCAGTGCTCTCTCCGAAGGCTCTGGAAGAGAATCCGTTTCTCACCTCTTTCAGCTTCTAGTGGCTGCTGGCACTCCTCACACATGATCACATCACCAGTTTCTGCCTCTGTGGTCACATTGCCTTCTTACCTCTGTGCCTTCTCCATTCTGTCTGTGTCAAATCTCCCTCTACTGGAAAGGATATGTATGATTGCATTTAGGGCCCAACCTGATCATCCAAGATAATCTTCCCTTCTTAAAATCCTTACCTTAATCACATCCACAAAGGCCCATTTTTTAAATAAGGCAGCATTTACAGGTTCCAGGATTTAGGACCTGATACCTTTTGAGGGTGTTATTCAGCCCCCTATCCTGCAGATGGATGTCTTATAATCTTCCTTTTATAGGCTGGGAGTTGGGCTCAGGGAGGTACCCAAGGCTCCACACATGGTAAGCAATGGCATCAGGTTTTGAACTTGGAGCTGCCTCCAAAGTCTATGCTTGGTTTCCGTGCCCTGCCACCTCCCTTCTGACTGCTCCATGGGTGGGTGATGCCTATAGTGGCCATAAGAGGTATTCTGACAACAAAGCCAGTGGTGGGAATCAGCACTCATTCTTGAAAGAGATAGAGGATAGGTGAGCGCAGAGAAGGATGCTCTCCCTACCTTCACCATCAAGGAAGAACTTCCTGGATTTAACTTAAGTCCCATATGGGTATGTATAGGAGCCCTGCTGCCTCTCCCTAAACCCACTTTCTTGATGTGTCTTTATTTCTCCACAGGATATGGCTTGCTCTTTCTGTCGTTAGTCATCACACCTATCATCCGGGCCAAACTCTCCAAGCTGGTGGGTGAGTCTGAGCAGGGTAAGTATCAGAATCAGTCTGCATCTTGTTCCTCAAGCCCAGTGTTGGCTGAACTGGGCAGCCAGGGTAGGGAACAGCCTACCTTCCTCCCATCCTGGGGAAGTGGCCAGGATGAATGCACTTCTGTCAGATGGCCTAGGTTCTGGTGGAGGGCTGGGTTTTTGCATTCAGCAGCACTTGATAACTGGCGTAGAAGATTTACTCTTTGCAGACCTCAGTTCTTCCATCCATGATGATTTTAGAGTTTCCTGATTCCTTGGGGTCAGAGTGTACAAACCCAGAGGAAATGAGCAACCTTGTAACCTAGGTTTCATTGTTCCCAATTGTCAGGTGAAGAAACAGCCCCAGAGGGTTAACTTGATTCAATCAAGGTCACTCAGTAAATGGTGGAGCTGGGATGCACACTGAGGTCGATTTTAAGAGTAGTGGGTCTTGGGAGCTGGGGTTCAGCCCTGGCTCTGTCATGGGCCTCAGTTTCCTTCTGTGTAATGAGTGGTTTGCTCTTGGTGACATCTGCAGGCCCTTCAGCTCTGACAGTCTGACAGTTTAATCTTAATTTCTCTTCGATCATTGCTTATGTGTGCAAACTGCTTATGTGGCATAGCTATAAGACAGCTCCTCTGACCTCTGGGTTCTTATACTTTAGTCTGGAAACATCTGCCCTGGATCTGTTGATGGACACCTGGTGGCTTACACAGCCCACCATGGGCTCAGGTGTCTCCAGAACCCAGCTGCCATCATTCACTCATTCAGTAAGCTTTCTTCCCAGCACTTTTCACTGTGCCCAGACATGTCAAGGGGAAAAGGAGAAAACAGCCTTTATTTACTAGCTACCTCCAGCAGGCACACTGGGATACGTGTTTTACGTGTGAGCTTTAAGTTGCTGACAAACTTTGAAATAGTTGTTAGGCTTATTTCACAGGAGGGGGAACAGAAACCCATTAGGATAAGCCACTCTTCAGTGATCACAACCATGAATATTGGAACTGGGAATCATATCAGCAGTTAATGCCAAACAGGAGGTGATTCCAAAGAGGATAACCCCCTCCCCCAAACACCATTTCTATCAGGCTTTCATTAGAAGCTATCACATGTACTTTTATTGTAGATTTAAAAATAGTTCACTAATGTAGTCGCCCTTTTGTGGGGGATGCTTTTCATGCATGACATTACTGAATCTTTATCGTGATGTGGTAGGATTTACAGGTGAGGGAGATGTTAAGTGACTTGCTCTGGGTCTCACAGCTGTGAAGTGGTGTGGTGGTACCAGGATTTTACCCTGAATCTTTTGAATCTGGAACTTGGCTTTTTTTTTTTTTTTTTCCTTTTTCCTTCCTGTTTTGGAGGTTGAACCCAAGGCCTTGCACATGATAGGCAAGTACTGCACCAGTGAGCTTCACCCCAGCCCTCAGAGTGTGCCATTTATTTCTTTGCAGGTGCTCTCTTTTCCGCTATGGCCTGTGTGAGCAGCTTGGCCATGCTGGCAGCCTCCGGGATCTTCAACTCACTCTATCCAGCCACTCTGAACTTCATGAAGGGCTTCCCCTTCCTCCTGGGAGCTGGTCTCCTCTTCATCCCAGCCATTTTGATCGGGTAATGTAGGCCCCTAAACCCATGCTCATAATGGAGCCCTTTATCTTCAAAGGTTTCCTCTTCCTCCTACTCCTACCTGGAAATGGCAGCATCATTTCTACCTCTTCTCCCCTTGTCCCCTCCTGGCTGATTGCCCCCTTGCAGATGGCTGCCTAATCCTCCAGGAGCCATTCTCCAAGGGCCAGGCAGAGGGGCAAGTAGGGAAGGATCAGGCTAATTTGTGGCCAAGCTGTTACCTCCCCAGGTCCCCTCACTTCCTTCCATTCCCATTTTACAGGTGGAACTATGGGCAGCAGAACTATGTTAAAGGGACTCCACAAAGTTTCCTCTGTCCTGGTGGCTGGGCCAAAGGCTAGCCCAATGCACTGACTTCTTCCCCCATTGTCTCTTTTATTGTTGGCACTGGAGATTGAACCTGGAGTGCATTACCACTGAGCTACACCTCTGTCCCTTTTTATTTTTATGAGACAGGGTCTCACTAAACTGCCCAAGCAGTCCTCCTGCACTAGCCTCACAAGTAGCTGGCATTCTAGACCACGAGCCACTGTTGACTTAAGAGTTATTTTCCAGAAACATCTGTCACTGGATAATGTCCTTTACCTTGCATATTGGGAAGGGAGGAATTCAGGAGAGGACACTGGGACAGTCCACCTGAGTGAATCCTGTGTCACTTTTCCAGACAGGAGTCGAGGATTGTCAACTCGGAACCCTCTCTCTGTTCTTTTACAGGATGCTGGAAAGGGCTAATCCTCACTCTGAATTCCAGAACATTTCCTAGAACCCCTGATCTGCCTGTGCCAAAGGGCAGAGGGCAAGAGGAGCAAAATGAACACACCGACTTCGAGTCTGCATCTGGGAGCCAGCCCACAGCTGAGTTGCAGCTCCCCTCAAAGGGCAGCTTCTTAGACAAGGTGGTCAAGCTCATTCAAGGTACTACCTGGTCCATAGCTGAGCCAGCCTCTGTCTAGAATTTAGAAACCAAATCTGACAGGCCCACTCCAGGGCAGGTCTGATTACCTTTTATGCCATCCATCACTTGGAACCCTTTAGGGAAGGAATCCTGATGGAGTGAGACCTCAGGGAGCAAGTGGAGTGTTTGGGCTGGCATCTCTCCTTCCAGCCCAAACTGCACAGCCACATGTTCCTGATATGTACAGCAGCTGCCAATCATTCCTTAATGATGACTGTATTATCCAATTAGTGCCAGCCTTGGGGCAGTGGGGGAGAGATTGGGAGGGCGTGGCTCCCCTAGAGAGAGAATGCTACTGTCACTGTGGATGGACTCAATCCTTGACTACAACCTTTGCACCCCTGGGCTTAACTGTGCCAATCACAATAAATTAATTGAATCAAACCAAATGGAATCTTCCGGTCCCTAAGGCATTGTATTTGGGGCCCTCTGTTTTCCTGGTCTGCTTACCATAGGTCAGACTCCAGCCATCTGCTGCTGCTGGGCTGGGTGGGGAGCCCCTGGGCTACCTATGGGGTTGTCCTGGGTGTGGCTATCCGGTTACCTCAGGTTTGCCACTCTTACCTCCTGAGCTGTCAGGTGATAAGCTGCAAGACTTGCAAGAGGCCAGCTGGAAACCCTGGGCAGGGCTCTGGCTGCCTCTTACTGAGGGTCAGTGAGATGCACTTTCCAGAAGCACCTACGCTGATCTTCCTGCCTACACCAGGCAGGATCAGTTTTCATTGACACAGCCCTCTGACACCTGTCGTTGCTGAGTGCTTCAGCAGTCATGTGCCAAGCCCATCCCTGTGTCTCTGTAGGTCTACTGGGAGCTGAACCTGATTTTCCATGATTCATGGACCAGAGCTTCCCAGAGAATGAGGGACCCATTTCTAGGGAGGTAAAAAGGTCTGGACCTGAAGTTGAAAGGCAGAATCTTATTTAATATTAAAGCACTGGCTTTGATGAGGACCCATAAGTCCCCTAGCAGACCCAAATCAGGGGCTACTTCAGTCTTCAAACCAGAACTGCCCTTGGGGGCTTGGCCTGCTGCCATTTTTCCCTACTTTCTCATCTGCCCTGTTAGCCATTTTGCTGGCTGAAAAATCACTCAGGTGAAATGGGTAGTTCAGGGCTGGCTAGAGCCCCTGCAGCCTGGGCCCCTGTTGCCAGACTTCTGCCTCCCTAATCTGCGCCCCTCCCCCCACTCAGACTGAGCTGGCCTGAGGCCAGGCTCTACTCTGGCTAGCTGTGTGACTTGAGCAGTCTCCTCTAGATTAGCAATTCCCCCAAATAGTCTGAATGTGGGGACCACACCTGGATGCACCTTCCAGGACACATTCTAGGATGAGATGCCTATCTTCATGGGCTAAAGAGAAGGATAAATGAATTGTGGCTGGACTTTTGATTTCTGAATGTCCCTGAGCAGCTCTTGGAGGGACAGGTGAGGTGGGGTAGGGACCTTGTTGACTCAGCCTTAACCTGGGGGCAATGCCTATAGCCCAGACAAGCAAAAAACCTTGACTCTGCAGACCTGAGTCAGAGCAGGCTGTGGGAGGGGTGCTACTTCTGAGACCTATCTCAGGATGAGCTCTAGGTGGAGGTTGAGGGCCCAGCTGTTTGCCCTAGCTGCAATCTGAGCAGTGTTTGACATGGCAGAGGAGGCCACCACCCCTGAACACACTGGCCTGGCTGGGACAGGCTCCTCAGTTCAGTTGCTCTGTCTGGAGCTAGAGATAGGCTCCTGATTGCCTGGAAATACAGAGGACGGGGCAGAAGGCTGGACAGTAGAGGTGGACAGTGGTGGAGCGTGTGCTTGAAGAAAACCCAGGAACTTCTCTGAGTACTACCCATAGGGATAAAAACCTATCACCTGCTGCTAGATTCTCTGGAGCATGGGAGAAGCCCCAGAAAGATCCCACTGGGAGTATGCAGACGCTGTATTAATGACTGCTGTGTGAGGGCAACATCCAGTCTGCTTTGTCTGTTACATCCAGGACAGAATCCTGGGCTTGAACTAGCATGCACTTGGGCTGAGTGTCTGGAAGAGGATGGTGTATGGTCAAAGCCAGAATTGGGCCAGGATGCACTTAAGACAAGGGGAGGGTGGAAAGTGGAAGGAAGGAGTCCCAAGCCTGCAGTGAGATCTTTGGCTTCCTGATGATGTGGTCCAAAAGCAAGGAGAAACCTGGCCACCTCTGCAGGGCTGGGGTCTAGGAGCTGAGCCAGCCCGGAGGTGTGAACCCACTGCCCCCGGAAGGAAGTACAGGGAGGTAACAGCCGACCCCACTAGCTGGAGCGTGGGTTATTGGAGGGAGGGCATTTCTTGCCCTCCTATTCCAGTGGAGGGAGGGCCACAGAGACATTCCTCCCTAGCTATTTCTGTATGACCCCTGGGTCAGCCTTTTGGCTAAAACCTATCCCCTACTGCTTGATTCCCTGGAGCATGGGAGAAGCCACAGCCCTGCAGAGGTTCATCCGCCAAGACGATTCTCAGGAATCATCAGCCCAGTCCATCTTCAGTGGCCTGGGTGCTGGGATACCTGGCTCTGAATCCTGGGGTTACCAATAATCATTTGAAAAATGGGATTTATCACTCGGTCTTTCTTCCTTACCTTCCAGTACAGGGGGACAGTACTGGACAGGGTTGCTGTGATGATTACAGAGACCAGGATTGGAGTGTTTGGGAAATGACAGAAGATTTGTGAAGGACTTTCTGCTCAGTGTGGTCTCTTGACCGCCTGCATCAGTTTGCCCAGGGATTTGTGGGAAATGCAGACTCTCAGGCCCTGCCTCAGGTCTCCTGAATTGAATTTTAACAAGATTCCTGAATGCACTTGACATTGGGAGAAACTGCTAGATCTTCACCCTTGCCCTTCAGGATCTTGACTCTTCCCACAGAGCTGCAGGTGCTGTCCAGGCTACTGGGGCTGCTGGGGTGGGGGTGGGGGTGCCTGGTCCCCCTCTTCCCTGAGCAAATGGGTGGGAAGCCCTGGGTGGGTGAGGAGCTGGGGAAGCCAGTAGGGCCTGGGTGGTCAGGCATCTTAGGCAGAGCACCAAGGCCTGGGGTAGGTGGGCTTTGAGACATGGCCTCCCTCCCCAGAACTGGACCCTGGTAGGAGGCTCCCATGCACAAGCACAGCAAAGTAGCCGAGGCATATACAGCCTTTGGGCCAGCTCAGCTCAACCTTGACCCCAGCTGTGAGGAAGGCTGGGAGGGGCACTGAGTGGTTATAGGGCAAGGCCACAAGACAGTAGGAAGTGGCATCAGGGCCCACGAACAGCCATTGAGGGGCTTGTCCATGGCTGCCTCCCAGGACCAGGCCCTTGCCCAGGGCCTGCACATGGCCCTGATTTCTGTCAGAGGCTGCCTTCTCAAGCCGGTTACTCTCAGGGTGGCATATGAGAGAATATGCCATGACCCTCCCCTCAGTCTCCTGCGTTTCCAGAACTTGGCAGGGACACAACTCTGAGGATGGGAGACAGAGAACCTGATGGCAAGGCCTGAGGCAGGAGGAACCCCCACACCCAAGCCCAGCTTCCTTCCCTTTCCACATACTGAGGAAGGGGGTGTTGAAGTGGGCCATGAGGGTAGGGGACAGGGAGAGCCATTTCCTAAGAGCCCAGGCTGACTCTGTTTAACGAGCTGTTCCTTCAGGGAGGAGCATGGAAATGGGAGACACAGCAGGGACTGGGAACTGGAAACTGGTTAAGGTGGGCCCATGGGTGCAGCACCCTCCAAACTGGTGTCAGAGCCTGCAGATGAGTCCCGGGAGGAGCGACCTTGCAGGAAACGGATGATCTTCTCAATGGTGGCCTCCTGGTACTCATGGGACCACCTGTGGGCACAAGGACCAAGGGATCAGATGGCTGCACAGATGGAGCTGCTGGCCAGGGGCCTGTTTGCTTTACCCCCCTGCTGCCTGTAGGGATGATGTGTACCCACTCCCCTTGGCTTTCATTCCCTGGGGCCCTGGGGCTCACTTGATGCTGTTGAAGGTAAGCACAGCCTGCATGTCCTCGGGCAGAGCCTGGGGCTCAGGCCACTCAAAGCCATCAATGACGGGCACAATGTTCTTGCCACAGCTTAGAGCAGTCACAATTTCCTAAAGGGAGAAGAGAAAAGAGGAAGAAACCCCTGTCTCATCTAGGAACCCAAGGGCCAGATAGGTGCCAGGGCAGTGGGGAAGTAGGGTGCTGCCCTGGGACTGAGCCCGAGGCAAGACACTGGGCTTCAAATCCCCCCAACTTCTCCTTCACCCCCCTACAGTGAAAAAAAGATTTGATCTTGGGACAGAGCTGGCACTGAGCTTCTAAACCCATTACAGTTTCCTGAGTGATAAGAGTACATCTTCTGCTAATGAGATAACTCCCAGCCAGGGGTGAGCCGGGGCAGTGGCCAAGAGAGTCAGGAAGAGGGCTGGTCACCAGAAAGACCCCAGCATGCTTAGGTGACTTCTGGGGAGGGGCTGCAGGTTAGGTTCAATCCCCATGACCAATGATTGAACAATCATGCCTATTTAATAAAACATGCATCAAATCCCCTAAACAATGGATTTAAAGAGCTTCTGGGTTGGTGAAGAGCCAGGAAGTGGTGCCAGGGAGAAGGTAGGGAAGCCCCTTGCCCTCCTTACCCTGGCCTGTGATTCGTTTCCATTTGGCTTTTCCTGAGTTGTGTCCTTTAGAGTAAACCCCACTAAGAGTAAGTCGGGAGTTTTCTGAGTTCAGTGAGTCACGGAGAAAAACTGAACTGGGCTGGGTGGGTGGTGATCATGAGAACTGCCAAACTGATAGTCAAGTCAGACAGAGGTGGCCTAGGCACCCAGGACTTGTGACTGAAGTCAGGGTTTCTGGGACTCAGCTCTTCAGCCTGTGGAGTTGGACACTCCAGGATCAAACTCAATTGAAGGGTACCCCTTTGGTGTCAGAAAATTTATTAAAAAACCCCATATAATTTTCTGTCAAAGAAATTCATCTCACCTCTGCATCTATGTGGCTCCATCACAAGCCCTGCCCATTGTACTTACTTATTTCTCAATTCCACATTTTTCTCTACCTGTACCCTGCTCAGACTTGTCCAATCCCATCCTATTTACCAGGTCTCTCCTCATCCACTCTTGCTCCTCTAATTTGTTTTCCAAAATGCCTTTTCACCTGAATAATCTCTGAAAAATGAAAAACCTGACATATCTGATCATGTCACATCCTACTTAAAACTCCTCAAGACTTTCTCTCTTAGAATAAAGACGAAACTTTCTAATGCAGACTGCAAGGCCTGTGTGGTTGGCCACAGCCCATTTCTAAATTTCTACCCCTTCCCCATCCTCCTGGAAACACAGAACCTACACCCTTAGCTCTGTTATCTTCCTTCCCTGCAGAGGGTTTCTGCCTATGCTGTTTCCTCCGCCTTGAACATGCTTCTCTGCCCTTTCACTTGCATCCCCACATCTTTCGGATTTGAGTTCAGTCAACAATTTTTTTTAAATATATTTTTTAGTTGTTGATAGACCTTTATTTAAAAAAATTATTTCTGTGGTGCTGAGAATCGAACCCAGTGCCTCACACATGCCAGGCAAGTGCACTACCGCAGAGCCCCAGCCCCAGCCCTCAGTCAACACTTTTCTAGGGAAGTTGTCCTACTTCTGTGACCAAATCAGCTTCCCCTCTTATATACTCTCAGGCTCTGCAGCCCAGGCTACAGTTGCAGATTTAAATTAATTAACATGTCGTTTACCTAATGTTTGTTTTCTCTGCCAAACAGAAGGACAGGGGCTGTGTGTGTTTTTTACTCACTTTATTAGCATCTTTCCCAAAGTCCTGCCCATGGTCAGCTCTCGCTAACTATTTGACTGATGGATGAAAGAATGAAACAATGAATGAATGAACAAAGCAACACAGCCCAGCAGTTAGGGGGCTGCACTCTGGAATCATCAGATCTAGGTTCCTAGTGAGTCTCTGACACAATGTCTGTGACCAGAAGCAAAAATAATGGGGTCTCAAAAGTTTCTGTTTTCTAACATATAAAATAAGGTTAATGACAGTCCTGTATCTTGTAGGTTTGTTGCATAAAATAACTGCAATATTCCACGGCAAGTGCTGAGCGCAGTGCTGAGCATGTAGTGAATGGTTAAGAAGTAATCGGTGTCCTTATTTCCTCTGTAAAGTGAAAATAAAACCTACCTCACTGGGTGGTTCTGATGGTGTTTCTTACTATTAATGGCACTCTGGTAAGTGCTCATTGAATGCTTTTCCTTTCAAGGGGGAACCACAGGGACGTGACTTTCTTGAGTGCAGTTCACTTGTGGTTTTCCAGATCAATTACCCACCAAATGTGGCTTCAGGGAAAGGAGGATTAAAACCAGAAGCAATTAAGCATTAAAAATGAACAGAGAAGGATGATGGAGCCTTTGGGACCAGTCCAAGGCAAATGCTGTCACCACTCTGCCTCCCACCTGCCCCTCACTGTCTGCTGGGACAATGGGTGTCAAGCACCCTTGTGGGGTGGAGACTTTTTGAAGAAAGAATCAGCCTAACTTCAACCCTGACTGGCTTCTGGGAGCCTCTTGGTTTTACAGATGAAGAGAAGGAAGCTTAGAGAAAGGAAAGGACCCCCCAACAATCACCCAAACACCCACTCCGGGAGGGGCCAGGCCTGCAACTGGAGCCTTCAGAGCCTAAGTCCAGGCCTGTTTCAACCAAGCCCTGCTGCATCTCTGCTGAGCATCTGGATGGATTTCAATCCTGTCACAGTTTAATCACAAGTCTTTAGAATAATTTGTTTCATGTAAAATTACATAGAACCAAAGAGATTGCTCTGTGCAGATTCAGAGACTGGCTAAGGAAGGGATAATGACTTGTTCAAGATCCCTCAGCTGGCTAGAATGAAAATTTAAGGACAAGTCTTCTAACCTGGTAAACTTAGTAGATGCACATAAGATCATTCATTTGTTTAGTCATTGGCTCAATTATTCTATAAACTTTTTTCCTGGTACTAGAGATTGAACCCAGGAGTGTTTTACCAGTGAGCCACATCCTCAGCCCTTTAAATTTTTTATTTTGAGACAGGGTCATCCTAAGTTGCTGAGGCTGGCCTTGAACTTGTGATCCAGCCTCAGCCTCCCAAGTTACAGAGATTACAGATATGTGCCACTGCACCCAGCTCTATACACTCTTTTGAGCTTCCTTTGAACTTTAATGGAGCTCACAGACACTTCCTCTCTCAGAAGGCTACCTGCCACCTGCTCAGAAGGCTGCCTGCTCTTGGTCATCAGTCATGTTCCTCCAGGATGTCTTCCTGGTCCAGAGCCTCCTCCTGAAACCAGATCCAGTACATGCCTCCTCCTGCATGGCTTCTGGAGCTAGGCCCTCCTCCCCGCTGCCAATCTGGACTATACTCTAGTGCTTCCATCCAAACACCTATTGCCCATCTCCCCCATCCCATGATGGGCTCCCTGTTTCCCAGTGCTTCAAGCACAGATCTTCTCTCTGCCTTTAGACTCCATAACCTGGTTCCATAGTTCTTATCCAGCCAGCAGTGTGCTGGTAAAAGTATAACAACTAGCTCTCTATAGAGGAAAACACTCACCCAACCAACCAAACAAAAAAGCCATCTGAGTGAGGTGGTGCATACCTGTAATCCTAGCAACCTGGGAGGCTGAGGCAGGAGAATGGCAAGTTCATGGCCAGCCTCAGCAACTCTGTCCCAAAATAAGTAAATAAATAAATAAAAACAGAAAAGGCTGGGGATGTAGTTGAGTGGTAGAGCACCCCTAGGTTTAATCCCCAGTACACACACACACACATGTGCGCGCGCGCACGCGCGCATACACACACACACACACACACACACACAC